CGTCTTAAAAAGTTTACTTGGCCTAGAAACCTTTGCAATTCTTTTTTGTTGCTAGGTAGTTTGGCCTCTAAAATGACCTTCGCTTTATTTTTATCAAATTCAATCCCTCTCTTGTGTACTAAGAAACCAAGAAAATTCCATACATTAACACTAAATGCACACTTCAAGGGATTCAACTTTAGCTTATATTGCTTCATTCGCTCAAACGAACATCTTAACTGTTCGAAATGGTCCTCTTCTTTAATGGACTTGACTACTATGTCATCTACATACACTTCAACAAACTTGCCTATCATATCATGAAAGATTAAATTCATTGCCCTTTGATAAGTTGCTCCTGTATTTTTCAGGCCGAAAGGCATAACTACCCATTCAAAACATCCTAGAGACCTAGGGCATCTAAAGGCAGTTTTGTGTATATTTTCTTTAGCTATATAAATTTGATTGTATCCTGAATACCCATCCATGAAAAAATACATGACATGTCCGGCAATCGAGTCTACTAAAGAATCCACCGTGGACATTGGATACTCATCTTTGGGTGTAGCTATGTTTAAATTCCTAAAGTCTATACAAACCCTTAGTTTACCATTCTTTTTTAATACTGGTACTATATTGGACAATCATTCGACATATCTGGCTGTTCTAATAAAACCTGCTTTCAATAATCGCTCTATCTCTTTCTTGATTTCAGGGAGTACATTAGGAGCAAAACGCCTAGGAGGCTGCCTATGAGGTTTAAAATTAAGCTTAGTTGGTAACCTATGTTCCACCAAGTCTCTATCTAAACTAGGCATTTGTTCATATTCCCAAACAAAACAATCTTTATACTCCTTTAGCAAAGCGATTAATTTATTACTAACCTCTTGATCTAGTATCTGGCTGATGAATGTTGGACAATCTTCTCCTTCATTGCCAATGTTTACTTTGATCAGAGGGTCTTGCGCTTGAGCGTATCCAGGTTTGACGATCCGCATTACTTCATCGTCCAGTTCCCTTGTAAGTACTTCTTCTTCTAAACAGTCCACCTTGTTGACTTCTCCGCCAATGCTTTGTTCTAACTCGAATACTGCCAACTTGTCCTTCAGCGCTTTTAGGGCTGTCTCTTCTTTCGCCTTGTTACTGCATTCCTTATTGAAAGCCATCAGTCTGGCTTTGAAGGCCTGAATGTCGGCCATTTGCTTTCATAACTTAGAATCCATTCAAGACTCCTTGATTATTCTTTTGTCAATTACTGGCTCTTCGAGGGCCACTATATTTGGCCTCATCTATCTGAACATTTCAGTGAGTGTGTCCACTGAAAATGGCTCTTCGCTTTGCGCGACAACTTGAGTTTCTTTCCCATCTTGTACCACCCTGACAGGTCCATAGTTTCCTTCGTACATGAACTTTTCCACTGAGTTTGCTTCTGCGACAAAAGGCCTATGATCGACCTATACCACCTCTGCTTCGCCTTTGTTATTCCAAAAGATCAGGCATTGATTGAGCGATGAGGGTATACAGCGACTTTCATGTATCCAATCTCTTCCTAGTAGCACATTGTAACTAGTAGGACCATCTATTACAAAGAAGACAGTGGTCCTAGTAGTCGTCCCTATAGTTATGTCCAATGGCATAACTCCCTTAGTTGAAGTTGCTCCTCCATTGAAGCTCGTGAGGATAACCTCTGTAGGAATCATGTCACCCTCTATCTTTGCGAATTTCCTCATCATCCTAGATGGAATGGTGTTTATAGTTGCTCCATTATCGACAAGCACTTTTGCCACAGGTATGCCATTAACTAGAGCTTTAACGTATAATGGCCTCAAGTGTTTAGTCAATTTCATGGCTGGCCGTTTAAAAATAACCTTTTCGACAGCCTCTATTTCTATTTCCTTCTTGTTTTCTGTCGAATTATCCCCCCGTGATGAGTCGACGTGCAGTATATCGTGCTGATCCTCTGTCTCCTGAACTTCCTTTTTACTTTTTTCTAATGCTTCCTCATCAGTTACCTAGCCTGTGGGAGGGGGCATTATTCTTGGA